GACGAGTTATGGGGGCGGCACTTCACCCTTCAACCCGGACGGGATATGAGATTTAATGTCTTGATGCTCATGCCGGACGGGGTATGTGAACAACTCTGTAATTAATATTGTTAAGGGAAGGGATTCACGTGTAGCAAGGACACCCTTATGGGACCCCATGGGATACTAGTAGGTTAGTGAAACGAGAAACGGTTATGATTTAGTTTGTTGTTAATGAATGTAAATTTATGATATGTTATATGTTGCTGATCGTGCATGAAGTTAGGATCTGTATGACATTATTATTTCTATAATTTGTTTTCATAAATTCCCCAATGGTAAGTGAAGGGTGAATAATTTTATTTTTAATAAATGTATTGATTTAAATTTAGTGCTCCATTAGTTGTTTTGATTTTCTACTAACCTTTACTTCTATGCCGGTGATATAGTGTGATGTCCTTACTGGGTTAGTGTAGCTTATCCCTTATTTAACCATTTTAGGTCAAAAGGACCTGGTTTCCGAGCCCGATCTGCAAGAAGATTACGATTAGATGCTAGATACTTTATATTTTCCTTTACTTTTCTTATTTATCGTGTTTCTTTTAGAGAATTCATTCCGTGATGTTTGTTTAGTACTTTTAAGTTATTGTGTGAGGGATGTAAACCTTAACATTTTATTTTACTTTCGCACTTAAATTATTATATATTTTTTTTTTATTTTCGGGGTCGTTACAGATGAAGTAGGAATGGAGTCGGAATTGGAGTTGTCGGTTTCTGAACCTAGCATATAGAAGAAATGGAGCAGGTATTACTGTCGGTAGAATTGGAAACTTACATAGTTAGTAGTAATATAGATCGTATGTAAATCAAGGATGTATGAATTTATACTCTACTGTATTGATGCATTTACGGAGGAAGGTTTCTATTTGACATTGAGTAATAGGTTGTGGTAGTTTCCTTTTTATGGGTATGACTGATTTGAAATGAGATACAAGTATTCCATATATTGAACTGTTTGAGATTACTCGAAAGATATGAAAGATCTCCCTCCAAACCGTACATACGACTTTCATTGAATACGGTTTTTCACAGAATTCTCTATGTATCTATGAGATTGAGTATGAAATTCTGTTTACTCACTTTAAATTGAGTATCCGTTTCCCTCCTTTTCTTGCTAGGATTGAAAATCCTGTATTTTATGTATTCATACGATTGAGTCCGCCGCTAAAAAAAAAAAGGGACGTTACACTAACCATATAATATACCATGCAAATATTAATAACTATAAATTTAAATACCCATTGTCCTATATAATTGAAATAGTATCAATTATAACAATTTATTTTTATTAATACTGAATGGCTTATAATTAAATATATTACATAAAATACACATATTAAATACATTTGCATTTATTGAATCATACTAAATAAAAATAATTAGGTTAAACATATGGACCTATTATGTTTTAAATTAATTATAAAAATAATCAATACTTCTTTAATGATGTAATTTATGTTGTAGGATTGGATTAACCTTTATATATATATATGTATAAGATAAGATATATAAAGTAAGAACTATATTATTTAATTGTAAAAGCAAAAATTTTATTTATTACACTAGAATTTAACAGATAAATATAAATTTTTCATTATAAAATAATAGATAAAATATATTCATGAAAATTGCTTAATTAGACATTTATTCTACATTTTCTTACGTAAACATTTTGGAAAAAATATGTTTTATTTATTTAAATAAGAAAATAACAAAGCGGAAAAAAGAGACGTTTCTGTTGATTGGTAGTTTTTGAAGTAGTGACATTAGTCAGTCAATCGGACGGCCAACTTTATTTTAATCTAATGGCCAACTGTACAATCGAACTCTTGAAATACTGCCTTCCCTTGTATATCAATTGACAACGGGACTTGAACAAGAATATGATTGGCAGTTCTTTTTTCTTTCTCAATAAAAAGAAGCCATCTCCGTCATTGGCCAGTCAAACACATCAGTATCAATTTTCATTCCGCCCTCTGCTCAATTACTCTCTGTGTTCAAACCAGTGGAAATCAAAGATGGAGAAAACACAGGAAACAGGAAAGAAAAACGGAAACTCAGACGCAGAGCAAAGCGTCAAGGATGGTTCAATTTGTGGCTATAATTCCCTTCATCAACTCCTAAGCGCAAATCTCAAACCTGAACTCTTTCAGGTCGTTTCTTGTTTTCTTTTTTCTTTTTCTTTTCTTTTTTCTTTTTCTTTTCTTTTCAACTCCTGCTTTATTATGATTTGTGGCTAATTTTGGTTAGTGTGAGTAGTTTTGACTATTTAAATCTGTACCTCATGTATGTGTTCTTAGAAGTGATCTGCTCTATTGCTTGTTCTGTAATTTTTCTAATGATTTGATTTGACTAAGTATGCAGTCTTTTTCACTTTCTTGCTTTGACTTGATTGACATATGAGCCGGAGTAATTAGAAAACCGTTGAAATTTTTCTTTCTAGAAAATAGATTGTTCGGTTTTTGTTCTTTCGGTGTCTTGCTCGTCAATCTGAAATGATAATCCATGGTAAAGAAGTTAACCAATTATAAAGATTAGAAAGCATTAAAAAAATGGTCGGAAAAATCTAGAAGCAAACTTGTCTTGGTAACTATTTCTGGTTATACAGTCCAATCAGGATAAGGGATCTTCAACTGACATATTGTTAAATTTCTGCATTTTCTTTATGTTGATATAGATTGGAATTTCCAGTTCAAACCATTTGTGTTTTGCAGGAGGTCAGCCGCTTGCTTTATGGCCTTAACTGCGGAAGGCCACTTAAGCAGATCAAGCTCCCAGAATATGCTAACACCCTATCTTCCAAACATGATTTTGATTTACAGGTTCATGTTTCTGCCACCTCCTGAGACATTCAATTTAGTTTTATAATCTATTGAAGTAATTTTTTGCAGCAGATTCCCTTATATTTCATGTAGAATTTTCATTTTGTTTTTGCTGTAAATCACAGTGATGGTTTATGTAGCATTTGAGCTAGCAATATTATTGTATTAGCCAAATTCACAACCACTAATTGCATTGGGAAACCCTGGAGTGCACATTGTTATAGGAATGTGCAGGAAATGTTAAATGAATTCCTTCAGTGCTGTCGGCACATGATGGTCCGTGTTTACTTACATGGAAATGATTAGATACCTGCAGGTCTTCTAAAAGCTAAGAACTGGTCAAACAGTGACTACTTCTTGTGCTAGGACAGATGAATTATGAACTTAGAGGGTTGGTGGTATTTGATTGCTTGTAGCTTTTGTTTAGTGGTTTCTCTGTCTCCTTACACTTGTATAACTTGATAGATAGTTACTAAATCTTTTTAGTTTAGACATTCTTCATGTATTGCACGATTCACCAGTCAAATAAGAGGAAAAAGTAAATTGGGGTTATAGGACTCAGGCAACAATGTCTGTCCTATCTTCCTCACAGCTATTATGAAAATGACAATTTAGTTGGTAAACTTAAAGCCGTTTGGCCTTTATGTGCTTTGTTGTTTATAGTCTTTAACAGATTCATATTCAATTTGTTGCAGGCTTTCTACTTTTCTGCAGAGAAGGAGTTAATTAGAGAAGCACGTGTGGTTAGGGTTGGTCTCATTCAGAACTCTATTTCTCTTCCAACAACTGCTCCCTTTCTGGACCAAAAGAGAGCGATTTATGAGAAAGTGAAGCCAATGATTGATGCTGCAGGTGCTTCTGGAGTGAACATACTATGCTTGCAAGTATAGCTGATAGCCCCTCTCTTTATCTGCTTATTAATAATCCACAAGAATGAAATTCTCAAGTAACTTATATAATTTTCATCTAGGAAGCATGGATGATGCCATTCGCCTTCTGCACTAGGGAGAAGAAGTGGTGTGAATTTGCTGAGCCTGTTGATGGGGAGTCTACAAAATTTCTTCAGCAATTTGCGCGGAAGTATAACATGGTCATTGTAAATCCAATTCTTGAGAGGGACATTAGCCATGGAGAGACAATTTGGAATACTGCCGTTATAATTGGCAATCATGGAAACATTACTGGCAAGCATCGGAAGGTAATTTCAACAGCTATCTTGCTTTTAATTTTCATATTGGTCTTAAGATTTAAATTTTTTAAGCGGCACAATGTAATGGCATTTGGCAGAATCATATACCCAGAGTTGGAGATTTCAATGAGAGCACATATTATATGGAAGGAAATACTGGGCATCCTGTGTTTGAGACAGCATTTGGAAAGATTGCTGTTAATATATGTTATGGGAGGCACCATCCTTTGAATTGGTTAGCTTTTGGCTTAAATGGGGCAGAGATTGTATTCAATCCTTCTGCCACTGTTGGTAAACTCAGTGAACCAATGTGGCCCATCGAGGTTCTTCTTTTCCTATGCCCTTTTACTTTAAAGATTACTGTTTTTTAGTGAAATTCTTGCTTATTAATCCTCATTTGTGTTTTGTGCTCCTTTCCTTATGCTATGGACTTCATTTGGCCTGATGCATTATGGTACCGTGCTTCATGCTAGCTGCTAAGTAATAGCAATAAGAAGAATAGTTGACAACATCATGCTTCTTCTCTAGTAGCTCATTAGTTAATAGTAGTATCTTCAAAAGCTTGAGAGCATAATGAAATGTGTTGTTCTATCAAATTGATGATGCCGAGATTCTTCAAAAACTACTTATTAACATATGTTAGCTTTTATTCATAGACTACCTATTGGTTGTTTGACAGGCGCGTAATGCTGCAATAGCAAATAGTTACTTTGTTGGTTCAATAAATCGAGTTGGAACTGAGATATTCCCCAACGCATTCACCTCGGGTGATGGGAAGCCTCAACATAAGGATTTTGGGCATTTTTATGGCTCTAGTAACTTTTCAGCACCAGATGCTTCCTGCACACCATCTCTCTCCCGATGCAGTGATGGATTGTTGATCTCAGATATGGATCTTAATCTTTGTAGGCAACTGAAAGACAAGTGGGGATTTAGAATGACTGCCCGGTACGAGGCATATTCATATTTGCTCGGTCGTTATCTGAAACCAGACTTTGAGCCTCAAATAATTTCTGATCCCATGTCAGAAAAGAGGTCCTCTTAAGGTTCCAGTCAGCTACGAAAGGTTGAAATAGGAAGGAAGAAATGAGAGCGAAATTGGAAAGTGTATTCAAATAACTGAAATGATCTTGTTGAAATATAACTCTCATTTTTCTTGTTTAGGTCCCAATCTTTCAATGGATTAATGTGGGATATTAAAACACAGAAGACTCAAAATAAACTTTCAGGAAATGGTGAGAATAAAAGTAGCAATTTGATCTTCTCTCTCCGTTTTGTTTCTTTCTTTAACTCCATAAGGTGTTCATCAAATCTTTGCTTAATTTCAATGTATAAGCATCTCTCTGGAGTCTCCCAATTTGTTGAAGAATAAACAGATTGCTCATTATTAGAGTCTGCTTTCATATGTATAATTTCCATTTTGTCACATTAGTAATAGTAATAAATGGAGAAAGATTTGGAAAATATAAAGAATTAAATTAATGGAAATGAATTATCACTATTTGATCAAATGATAGGAATGTTCAAAAAAATATAAATTATTTTTGATATTTCGTCTTGTAATTTAATTACATCATTTCTTTTCTACCGAGAGGATGAAAGATTTAACAAAACAATTTTTGATATCTCGTATTATTTGTAATTTTTTTTTTTTTTAAAAAAAAAAGCAAATTGAAGGCTTCATTCAACACTTTGATAAAACTTTCATAGCGCCATACTCATATTTTACTCTTAAGAAAATATTTTATCACTTTAAAAAGGGCTTTTTTTTTTCTTTTAAAAAACTATCATAATTAAGAAAAGAAAAAACACTCTGCCACTTGCTTTGAAGGAGCTGGGGGAATACTGACCATTTGCTGACTTAATGAAATATTTATCCTCTTTTTTTATTTTTTCGAATTTTAAATTTTTAATAATTTAATAAAATTACTGACCATTTAAATGCAAATATAATTCGTATAAATAATACGCTTTTAATTAGGGAAAAATCTTAATTTTAACTGCTTAAAAATTATTATTTACCTCCATTTTTTTTTTACTTTAATAATTTATTCCTTACATTGATTGATATCAGATAAAGATAAGTGATTTTTGGATTATTTTTGTTTTCTAAGAAAAATATTATCTAATCTGAAAAAAATACATACGCTTCTTCTTGATTTCTCATCACCATTGCAAAAAACTACAGGCCATTTCTCACCACAACAACACAAACGAACACACTCCTCTCTCTTCCCCTCTACAAATTTCTCTTTCCTTCACTCACTTACCGTCCTCCGTAGCCGTCTCTCTTATCGGCTTTTCCACTTCACAGCTCTACCTCTTCGATTTTGGCGATGGCTTCATCAATATCGCCTCCGTCTCCGCACAACCTCGCCTTCTCGTCGCGAAAGTTCGCCTCGGTTAAGAGGCCGTTAGCCGTTAGGCCTCCCGATTCCGGCCTATGTCGCTGCACTAGCGGTAATTCTTCTTCCTCCTCCTCTGATAACAATCCGTCGTTGTTTCACCGCCGATGGGATTCGGCCATCCAAGATGTGCTGAGGAATGCTATCAAGCGCTTCGATTCCTATCTCAATTTGAGTTGGAAACAATCTGGCGATTCCCCGAACAGCCGCGTTATAGAGAGGCATAGGGCTAACTCGGATAAGGCCGATGATGAGGAGTGGGATTGGAATCGTTGGAAGAAGCATTTCGAGCAAGTTGACGAACAGGAGCGCTTGGTTTCCGTTTTGAAGGTATTGTGTATTTTATAGTTTTATATTTCTGTATGTTTATATATGTAGCCGGCGTATGCTCGGTTCTGTGATTTTGGCGGAAGCTGCTATCTGTTTTTTTTGAAAATGAGAATAGAAGATCAAACGGATAATCTCGAAAAAATTTGGTAAAGGGGGAAAACCTAAAAAAGGAAAGGATGTAGTTTAAACTTCTCTGTTATTCTACTTTAAATTTAGTTTCTGAGTTTTGCGTGCGCGTTTATTCTACTTAAAATTCTCTGCTATTCTTCTGAAAGAAACTTCACCTGTACGTGCCCTTTTTAAGAGAAAAAGAGAATCCGTATGTGTTCTCTTGGGACTCATTTGTTGTTGATGTCAGTTCTAGTTAACTTGCCAAGGGAAAATTTTGCTTTACTAGGAAAGAAAATTTCTGGAAACAGTTTGGGGATGGGATAGAAGATTGGATTTGTATAATAGAAGACTTGTATGAAGTTTCTTGTTAGTATAGATTGAGAACTGCTGCATGGTTTCTATTGAGCATTTGTTAATCTAATCGTGATTTAGTCCTTCGCCTGGTGAACAGCTTTCATTTGTTTTATGACCGGCCATTTGGTTTTCAATCCTTTCTCTAGAATTTCTTCTGCTCAGCTGGAAATAGTTAAGTGTAGGGACAGGATTATGCATGAAATAAATCCGAGACAAAGTAGAGATGGCTGTAGAGAAGCTTGAAGCTTTTTCCTTGCCTTGAATTTCACGGAAGTGGAAATACTGGAATATTGGCTTTAACTACTCGCACTACTATTAATGACATGAGACTTTTGGCATGCTCAAACAGTCACGGCTAAGTGATGCTGTCCGTAGTGAGGATTATGAAGATGCTGCCAGGCTAAAGGTAGCAATTGCAGCAGCGGCTACAAGTGACACTGTTGGTAGAGTGATATCTCGTCTAAATGTATGAATTTTGACTTAAAATATCTGGTCTTCTGGAGGAAGGACTCAAAAGGTATTATTCTGGTTGATTCCTTTTTTTCTCACTTCAGAGAGCTGTGGTCGAAGAGCGCTACCAGGATGCAGCATTTTTACGAGATAAAGCTGGTGCCGGATTGGTGAGTTAATGGAATAATGTTACTTCTCTTTGGTGGTGATTTATCATAATAAATGTTAAAATTATCTACATAGCAGCTAAAATCTTGATTGTGGCACATCAATTTTGGCATTTTACACCTGTCTCTTACTCACTTTGTCTTTCTTATACGTACTTCCAAACACACATATACTTGTGCAGCATGCTCCTATGCTTGTAGATTTACATATGCATCAGTTAATTTTTCATATTATAAAATATATGCATTCCTTACATATGCCTACACATGAATAAATAAATTGTATTCAGCTAAAAAAAATCAACCATAAATGGTAGAGGAGCCATGTGACTAGATCTTGTTTTTGGTGAGAGGAATCTAATTCCACTATGTTTTTTGTATTGACCGAATTACCATGCTCTTATCTGTTTGTTGATTTTTATATTGTTTAACTATATTTTTTGTATGTTATTTGCTTATTCTCAATAGATTGTTTTTGGTCATCATTTCTAGGTGGGATGGTGGGCTGGTCTTTCAGAAGATATAAAGGATCCTCATGGTCTAATTATACGAATAACTGCAGAGCATGGAAAATACGTGGCGAGGAGTTATAGTCCTCGGTAATCATTTACTTTCTTATGCTAGATGTTTGTTTGTAACGGTTCTTAGTATATATTTATTTATACTATTGAGAGAGGCATACATGACTTCATTTTCCCAACTTTCCTGTTTCTTTTAGAGAAACAATATCCTTTCTCTTGGTTCGTTTTCAAATAACTATAAACAACTTCAAAAAAGAGAATAATCCAAGATATACCAACATTAGTGTTGGAAAATTAATGAATGATTACACCAGTTATTGTAGCTCAGTATGTTTCTTCCCCTTCAGAAGGAGATGTGCTGTCCTAATTGCATTTGGTAGTTGAGTTTCTTTGATTGTTATCTTGCTCGATATCCTTTTGCTTTTCTGCAGATTGATAAATAAGTTTTCTTTCATTGTAAATAGATGGCTTTTCATTTTTACATGGGTGGACAGCCTCTTAACGTCCTGTCTTAGCGGACAGCTTTTCTCTATATAAAAATTTTTGTTCTTTTTTCTTTAAAAAAAAAAAAATTATGCTCTTTTGTTAAAACAGAAAACAAGAAGATCTGTTTTAGATTTACGTGTTTGTTTATTATTTTTTGGGAGTGGCAAAGATGCAGTAGAGTTTATCATGAACAGTTGATATGATGCTTGTATGTTAAGCCATACCTC